ATGTTGAATTTTATGCTAGTGTTTCTAACAACCCTTTTCTGTACAATTCTCCATTTTGGCTTGCACAAGTGTTTTGAAACAGCATGTGAAAAAATCAGGTCAAGTCTCTGAAATAAACAGCCCGCTGACAGCTCACCACAGAAACATAATTTCCATTATATTTTTCCAAGGAATACTGTAGGTGCTGTTCAACTGCCCCACTCCATTTTCTGCTATTTTGCCAGGCTTTTTCCAAAAGAACTGTACCACAATGCATTTTCACAAGCTGAACCTCAGCTCTTGCTAAGGTTGAACTGCATCCTACAACACAAAGAATGATCTGGTTTATTAACTTGCAGTGCCACCTAGCAAACACCCTTAACATTGTTTTCTTGATGTAGTTTCACAAACGACATTTTAGAGCTTTCAGATATTAAAAAAGACCAATTTGTGCTTGCAGCATTTTAAGCATCTGGTGCATCGTTTGGTTTTGAACAGTTAAATTCATTAGAACTGATGTTTGCAAATAGGATAGTAATAGAGATGCTCACATAACCAAAATACGTTCTGATACATGAGCATTAAGAACTAGTTTTCGACACATCCCTCATACATTTGTCTACAAACAGTTCCAATAATTGTTAAGGATATTTTTTAAATCATACACTTTGATAGTAGGTCAGTGATTAATTTATTGGAGTTTTGAGAGACTCCTGCCACCAAAATAAGGAAGATTTTAGCCTATCCAGGCACATTAGTACCTTGCATGCAGATGTCTTTTAGACCTGCATGAAAACCAGACCAGTTTGATTTGTCTTGCCTTAAAATAACAACCATACCCCAAGACAAAACAAGCTTAGCTATTTAACTGTGCCTGAACCGTGAAGCTATTCTACATACTTACATGTCTGACACTAGAAGGCAGCAATTCAGAATAAATGCTCAGCCACCTTCTATTACCCCCAAACCTCTAACAGGAAGCTCTTCCCCGTTTAATTCCTTTGCCAAATTATACTACGCCAATTAAAAGAGATTATAACTAAACAAGCAAAAAGCAACCTAAAGACATCAAGAGTGAAGGACAAAGAGAAGAATACACTCTGCTGACTGACCTTATCCTCTCTGATAAAGCATCTTAGACCAACGACTCTATAAGCTCCTTGAACAAAGCAGCTCATCTTCATTCACAGTGTCAATATGTTCCAAATGTTTAGCCAGCACTTTGGCACCAATACAAAATAAGTTTTATTGCTTCTCTTGGAATTTCTAAACAGAGTTCTGCTATTACAATTCCTGGTGATCAGAGAAACCACCACATGTTTTATAGAGTTCAAAAACTAAAGCAAGTCAAAACAAAAGATGTTTCCAATAATAAGAACAGTTTTGGCTTAGTTATGATCCTCTGGTCCTTGATTTTTCAGCATATCTCCAGAGTCCATCACTACATGAGGACTCTATTTACAGGAAGACTTGTGGATCACGTCAGCAAGCCAAGGGGAGAAGAAGAAATTAGTAACAGCCCAAGTATGTAAAGAATTAAATTTGTACAAGTACCAGAGACCCCATCTTTGTCTCAGATGCATGGCACATGCTTTTGTATTTGCTGCGAATTTAATTGCTATCCTAAGCCAAGGAAGAGAACATGTTTCCCCTCCCCAAAGAACCTGTATTTTGCATACTCCCGAGTTCTTTCCAGATTAACCATCTCTATGTTGTATGGCTCAATTAGTTTTGCACAGAACTCTATGCAAAACGAGCAGAGGCATTTCAGATGCTGCACTCCTGTAAGAACTTTGAACCTTAGCCCCTGCAGACTGGCAAGAATGGTCACTCCAGAAAGTCATTGAAATAGAAAAGATCCTTGAAAGTTTGTCTGTGACCAGCCTGACTTGATGCATTTACTTTTTTTGCGAGTTCTGGTATCATTCTTATGGTTTTGAACCATTTTGATTCATCTTTATCACTGCTTTTGGACAGAGTTCTTGAGATCCTTAATTGTCAGGCTGGTTTCATGCTTGAAACTGTGATACAAGAAATGCAATTATAAATTCGCTACAGAAAGGCCTCCAACCACTGCAGGCTTTAATGTCACCTCCATTTTCTTACCCAGAATGTGCACGCATCTGCTGCTAAAATGCTGTAACAAAGGAAAAGACTTTACACGTGATTTCTATCCTCTGGAGGTAGCACCCATTTACAATTAAAAGGTCTCTCCTTTTTCTCCACATCCATAGGTTCACCTTGCTTTGAATGATAAGAAAGGAATCACTGTGTTAGGTCAGGTGGGTATGTGATATACTATCCACTGTTGAGCATTGGGAAATGGGGTATTAGAGAATTATTGCTACTGTTACCTTCTCTGTTTCAGTTTCTTCTTGACAAGACAGTGAAGAAATGATAGGTGAAAACACAGATCAGACATTTCAGACAAGTCCCTCTGGTTTCTAATTCCAACAAGCTGAAACCCACCAGAAGTCAGATAGTTCTGACTGAAGTGGGCCTCCACAACTGTTTTGAAGTCCTCAACCAATGACTCTCTTACCACGTACCACGATGCTTAAACTTTTAAGTCACAGCCTTCAGTATTTTCACTGTCTCCTAAATTGCAAGAAATACGAATATTTTTAAATGCACAGTTTCCTTCAGAAGAGACCAAGATTCTTATCATCAGAACCCATGGCATGTTATAACACAGTAGGCAGCATGGATGTTCTCAGATTTATTTTACTAAAATATGCATTTTGACTACTAATTCTAATGATACTTTTTTTCCTTTTCTGCCTTTGTGTAATGTGAAGATTAGTCATGACAGGTGTTTTTTTCCTCCTCAGGAAGCAAAGGAAATCCATCCCTTAATTAAGAAGATAATTACTATGCTTAAGTGATGAAGACTCAGGCAGCTCTCTGTTGAGAAGCTATTTATTTCTCCTCCTTTTCATTCCGTTTATCTACAAGACCATTTTAGATATGTGTAGCTCTTGATGCCAGTTAACAAAATAGTGCAGTGCCACTGGCGATATGCACCTACCACAACTAACAGGAAGAACATTTAAGAAATACGTCTTTGTACTTGCAGAAGGGAGGCCACATATCTGTTTTTTTCTCTCTTACCTCTTCAATTCATACTCTTAGATCTTCCAAGCTCTCAGAAAAGCATTTTCTGTATGTTTTACAAACTTTCCGGGCTCAAACTTGATGTCTTATTAACATTTAACCACAGTTTCTCTACACAAGTCAGAGAACACATTTTTTTGGCCAGCCAGCAAGTGAGGGTAAGTGGCTCTGAAAGTTCTTCACAGAACAGCGTTGCTGTATGTGATGATAGCTGCAGCAAGCTCTTCTCTTTCATAAATACACAACACTGCTACAGAAAAAAGATGGTGACCAAACCACTCTGCTCAGTATTGTTTTGGCAATTCCCCATGATGAGCTCAATAGTGCTACTGAAGACCTCAACATTAATTAGTTATTTGGTTTTGCTCACTACATGCACTGTTGTGATGTGTTTGGCAGTTAAAGAGAAGGAGTAAAAACTTTCAGCACTTGACTCCTGTGCTTTGTCACTCTCTGGGTTGTAACTACTAATCAGGACTTGTTCTCAATTATCACACACACAATTAAGCAGTTATTCCAAGTTTTCACTGTTAAACAATAGCAAAGAAGCACTTTTCTTTCCATTTCCATGGACAGTTTTGCATTTTTATAAAAATAATCAGACGAAACACACATTTTTAAAATACCATTTAAAAAGCAACACAATACTTCTATCTCCTATGTCATCCACATGATACAGTTATGACACAGAGAAGATGAAACCCTATGGTACATATGCACTAGTTTTCACCATTTATATTTCTAATACTGAGGAAACATTGGGTCAATTTTAGTGGCCCAAGCCATGAGCCCCCCTTTAATATCTTTGGCTAACACAGAAGCAAATTCTTTGACAGTCAACTCCTGCAGAATTCTTACAGCCTTCTGGGAATCATTTCCTAATTTGCAAATAACATATACAGGAAAGGGTGTCTGGCCATTAGTTCTCTGCTTTTCTTCACAAATTCTTTTTTCCAAGTGTTCCAGACACTGTTCATCTTTTTCTTCTAATTTACTCAAAGGAATGTGAACAGAGTGTGCCAGACGACAGATATCCACTTCTACCTGTGGACGAACATCTAGCAATACATGAGGAACTTGCTCATCCAACAGTTTCTTGTATTGCTCTACAGATATCCTGTCTTTACTAGACAGCAGATGTAAAGTCCTACACTTGTCTGTTGCTGAAGAACCACAAAATGCCTCATAATCCTGAAGGCAGGTGACAGATGGATTATCACCACAAACAACACAGTCTGGTTTCTTTGGTCTTAACTTGATGTTGCGAAATCTCCCTTCTCGGGCATCAAACATCAGCATGAACTGATTGAAAGACGAACCCATTCCCGAGACGATCTTCAGCACTTCCAAGGCCTGTATGCACCCCATGATGCCTGGCACAACACCCAGCACTCCCCCATCTGCACAGTTGGTCACTGTCTCTGGTGGAGGGGGCTTGGGGAAGAGACACCTGTAACAGGGCCCTCCCTGGTAGTTGTACACGACCAGCTGCCCCTCCAGGCGCAGGGCACTGCCGGACACCAGGGGCTTCCCAGCCAGAACACAGGCGTCATTCACCAAGTACCTGGTGGGGACGTTGTCGGAGCAGTCGGCGACGACATCGTACTGCCGGACCAGGTCCAGAGCGGTGCGAGGGCTCAGGGCGCCGCAGTACGGCACGTACTGCACTGTGGAGTTCAGCAGCCGAAGAGCTGCCGCGGCAGATGTGGCTTTGGGCAGCCCCCGGCGGGCCTCCCCGTGCAGCACCTGCCGGTGCAGGTTGCTCGTCTCCACCACGTCGTGATCTACCAGACCCAGGCGGCCGACACCGGCCGCGGCCAGGTACTGGGCCAGGGGGCAGCCCAAGCCGCCGCAGCCCACAACGAGCACGGAGGAGCGGGCCAGAAGCAGCTGTCCCCGCACGCCGAGCTCAGGCAGCACCAGCTGCCGGCTGTACCGCAGGATGTCGGAGGGGCTCAGAGAGGCCTGGGCGGGCAGCGGGGGGAGCTCGGCGGGAAAGGCGGAGGCATCCTCCTCCGTGTGCGCGGCGTCCCCCGCGGCACCCCCCGCCAGGACAGTGGCCAGCCGGTCCCGCAGGCCGCGCAGCTCCCGCTCCCGCCGGCTGATCTCGGCGCTCAGCCGCTCCGCCTCCGCCATGCCGGCCATAGCCGAGAGGACAGCGACGAACCCCGCACACCGCTTCCGCTTCCTCCCGGTCACCTCTAGAGCATCGCACTTCCGTCCGCGTCGGGCGCGCCGGTTGGCTCCGTGTTCTGGCCGCCGGTTCCGGGTGCGCCAGCGCGCCGACATGGCGGGCGGCGGCCGCGGGGGTGACAAGTTCTCGGTGCTGCTGCCCACGTACAACGAGCGGGAGAACCTGCCCCTCGTCGTGTGGCTGCTGGCGCGCACCTTCCGCGACAGGTACCGCCTGCGGCGCGGGGGGGACCGGGCTGCGGGAGGGGCGGTCCTGCTGCCGGAGGGAAACCCCGGAGGCAGCTTTAGCTTTGCCCCTCTCGCGGTCCCGGGGCTCGCACCGGTCGCTGTGGTGAGGCTGCAGCGGGATGTGGCGCTGTTGCGGCTTAAGAGCTGAAACAGTGACCTTGGGTCACGGTTTATCCTGTAAGCGTGGTCCTGTGGCGGTAACTACAGCATCCGGCTGTCAGAAAGTCACCTTGTATTCGATTCAGGCCCGTGCCGCTCGCAGTGACACGGGCAGTGAAACTGGGTTTGCCGTCTGTTCATTTAAAAACGATTCTCATTTCAGCGGAAAGGATTTTGAAATTATCATCATAGATGATGGGAGCCCCGATGGGACACAGGAAATTGCTGAGCAATTGGAAAAAATATATGGATCAGATAAAATAGTGAGTTCTATATGCTGTATCTTTCATTTTTATCATATTGGAAAGTACTTGAAGTCTGGGGGGAACAGGAACCCTTAGAGAACCGGAACCCTTAGAGAACCAGAACCCATAGAGAACTCTTGGAGAGCAGCATCTCTGGATTACCTCCTTAAACAAGTTATTTAGTTTTTCCACAGCACTCCAGGCTAATGTAAAGCTACAGATGTTCTGCAGCAGCTTAGCAGCGTCATGGGCTAATATGCAGAATCATAAACTGTTTGCAAAGGTTTTCAGTACTTTGTGCATTGCTGCGTGCTGTGAATAACAAGTAGTGGTTGTTAGTTGTTACTTTGCGCACAGCTGAGGGAAAAATGAGGTCAGGATAAGGTTTAATCTCATTTTAAGTGACTGCAGGAATAAGGAAATTGGAAAGATAAAAGCTAGCCTGGACTTGTGATTTTTGAATCTGGTTGCATTCCTCAATGACAGGACTTTTTTCCCCCTATTTAATATATTACTATATAACCATCAATTACAACAAGATACTGTTACTTCTTTGGTGTTTACAACTTAAAGCCACCTTTTTTTGGCAATAAAGGCTTTATCACAGAACAGTGAACCCAACCTTCTGTGTGCTGGTTGTGCTGTAAGCAGGGGCACTTTCCTAATCTGTCACTGTGTAAATGCATGGGTTTAAAAAGTATCTGTGAATTAAGTACGATTTAGAGATTGTTTTAAGAACAACGTGTATAAGAAGTTTTGGAGTCTGCCTTTTTTTATCCTTTTACTTTCTTTTTTTTTATACCAGCAATAGAAAAGTTTCCTCACTGCATAAGAGTTTAGTTTTGAAGTTTAACCTGTGGACCATCCCCTGATGCAGTGTTGAGCTGAGCACAGTTGAGTGTGAATATGTGAAGGCACCACCATCAGCTCACACTGGCACCACTGCAGAAGGGTAAATCTGCTGAGAGTTTTCATTAGATGAATTTTCACTGTTTCCTGATATATATATATATTTTTTTTTTTTAACCTGAATTTTGTTTCCTGAGCAAAGTCACTGTTCTGATTTGCGCTCAGTTGTCATCATCTAAACAACTTGATGGGGCTTCTTGCTTACTACATTAAGCTTACTGAATGCAATGTGCTGTTGATTTAATGCAAGGCCAACAGCTTCACGGAAGTAGATGAGGAACTAAAGTAATTTTTTCTTGAGTTAATGTTCAAACCTAACTATATATTAAAAAGCAAACAACCAACCCAGAAACCAAAATAACAAATCAGCAGAAGCACTGAGGATTAACTCCTTCATACCTATGTCCATCTCCAAATTGCATTGCTTATGACCACTTAGATAAGGCATCAAAACTGGCCAAGATTTAAAATGTGTTTCAGAATTATGTTTAGATAACTGCTTAAAGATCTACTCTCTCCTCCCCAAATGCTGACTTATATCAGTGGCACTTTAGGAGTTAAATTACTGTCATGATGATCTAGAAATGAGATTCCTCTTTTGTTAGTGGTGGTGACCCCTTTTCCCCCTGCACTTCACAGAGCCCCGCAGGAGCTGAGGAAATGGGGCCTGGGTTTAAAGCTTGGTCACTCATGTTCTGGATGATTGATAATGTTGTTATAAGGTCATTACTCCTGGTTATGTCCATATGCACACTAAAATCTTGACATTCATATTCAGTACTGAAAGTGATTACTTTGGGAAACTTGCTAAAATATTTGCTGTTAGTGTCTGTGATCCCTGAAGAGTAACGGTGCTGGGGAGACTGTTGTTCAGATGTATAACTGTGTTTCAGAGAGTGGAATTTGGGGAAATCTTTTAGTTACTGAGATGGCACTTTTAATTTGGGGTTATTTTGTTGATTTTGTTTTTTACTGCAGAACTACTAAATAAAGCTTAAGAGGTGTTTGCTTTTAAATATGACCTGATCGAATACCTGTTTAATATAATGGTTTGTGTCTCATATATTTTGACAGATAAATTTATATTAACTAGATTTCTAAAAATCAAAAGTTCATTTTAAGATATTTTTGTACCTTGAAAATAGCAAATTTAAGGTGTCACTAAACTGAATTAAAAACTGTTCTTCGAGTAATGTCTGTATCTTAATATGTTCTGCAGCTTCTGAGACCCAGAGCAAGAAAGTTGGGCCTCGGTAAGTCCTGGCTAACTCCGGTTAGTACTAAAAAAAATAAATCTGCTGTATTCTTTGATTCTAGTATATGAAGTTTGAGTGGGAAAAAAAATCACAGCAACTGGATGAGCTTTAAGGTCTCTCCCAACTCAAACCACTCAAGGATGCTATGAAATTGCATTAAAACTTGTAGTATGAAAACTATTCTGAAATAAAGTGGAGATATTTCCATCTGTTAAGATCTTTATCCCTTCTGCCTTAAAAGAATGGAGCCAATGATAAAATGCAGTTTGTTGTTTGATTTATTGTCAATCGCTATCTGCATTTCTTGATAAATATCTTGCAATCCCCCACTGGTAAAACATCTGAGGTGTTCAGTGTTCTGGGTGCTGCACCTGATTTCCCCAGTCCACTGAACAAAAATCAAATTCTAATTTTGATACTGAATTTTCTGGTTAAATTTTCTATACTTTTTTCCTCTCATTTATCTAAGAAACTCCAAAAAGCTTACATGCTGTTATGTGTATGTTTTCTACTTTCTCATCCCATGTCTTAATTTGACCAGTATTATGGATTAAAACTGACTGAATTTGACTGTTTTGTGTACCATAGCTACCACTTGTGCACAATATACAAATCTGTGACACTTCTATGATGTAACTCTGCAAACAAGGGAAAGACAGGGAAGGCAGCTTGTTCACTAACCAGGAGTTTAGTTTTCTGTAGCAGTGCCTGCTAAGGACATCAGTTGAGTGTTTTGCGTTCAGTTTTATCTATTCCTCATGAAGTTAACAGAAAAACTCAAGAGTAATTTGGATAAGTGAGACTAATCTGCCAGTTTTTCATATCTGCTGTGCTGCTTTACGGTCTGCAGATACAGTGCTGCCTCTGGATGACATGACTGGGATCAGAAATTTGCATTCTTGAGGAAAACTGTAATAGCAGAACTTGTTACAGCTCCTATCCAAATAGCTACACCAGTTCATCCAGGATGAATAAAACACAACAAAGTCTAAAGAAAGAGAAAAGGGCTGTCTTCAGATTAGGTACCAGAATATTATTCATGGTATCAAGAACTAACTAAAATCTATATACAACTACTAGTAAATTCTGAGTCTAGAAATCAAGGGGGTTTTAACTGTTGGTGATTATGTTCTTGTCTGTGTCCTATTTCTAGTCTTCTGTGGCTCACAAGTGCCTGTGGCTCTTCTGAAAATGATATTTCAAATAGTGACCCACTTACCAAGTCATGCTTCTCTGCGCAGCTCTAGTGCAGCAGGATTTGCCAATTTTCTATTTATAAAATCTGTTTATAATCTATTTATATTTATAAAATCTAGTGCTGAAACTGGAGGGAAAAGGAAAAGGAATTTTAATGTTTGATCACCAATACATCATTTTAAAATAAATTTTATGAGGTTGTAATTGATCCTTTTCTAGTAGAGATTCTAGAAAATCATTGAAGACTGTGCAAGATTGCACATGTTAAAATAGTGAGGGAAATTCTTTACTGTTTCATCAGGCACTGCGTATATTCATGGAATGAAGCACGCCACTGGGAATTTCATTGTTATTATGGATGCTGACCTCTCTCACCATGTAAGTCTGTATTTTATCTACCATTTTTTTAATCTGCTAAAATTAAGTTTTCATTGATTTTTTTTTTTTTAACCCCCACTGCTTTATCTTTTCTGATCTGTTTTCTTTCCATTTCAGCCAAAGTTTATTCCAGAGTTTATCAGGTAGGTGCCGATCATAGTATGAGAGAATGACTTCTGAACGTTTATTGGTTTGTAGTAGTATTTGAAAGCTTTATATTCTTGTGTAGCTGTGGTAAGAAAATTGGCAAGGAAAGAATTTGAATAAAAGTGATTGGCCCTCATTAGATTTGTCCCAGAATAGTCCAGGAAAATAATTAGTTCCTAACTGGAGCAAAAATCCCCAAGTTTAAAGTAACAGAGTGCACGTGTGGCTAAGTAGTAGCTCTCTGCCTTGTAATGGCTGTGCAGCTTTAAAAAGCATATATATAAATGTCATCTTCTGATTCTGTTGATTTCATCATGTAAAGATGTTGAATAGAGGACCATGTCCTCAGTTATTAGTGAAATACTTCTCTTCCTTTTGCCTACCTCCACCTCCCTGTAACATTTCAGTTGGTGAGAAATGGACAAGAGGCATTACATTGGAGTCTAATGGCAGCAGTCCGTGTAATTAACGACCTTCTTGCCTAATAGAACTGGAGGCCTTACATTTTAGATGAGGTTCTGCAGCAGTCTGGACTAAGGATAGTTCCAGACTTTTTTTTCCTTATTATTGGTTTGTGTAATTTAAATGTTTAAATTTGTATTTAAAATCATTGTCTTTTATACTAGAGAGAAGCTTTAAAAATGCCTATTCATGAAGTAGTCTGTGAAATTCTGTGGCGTAGTTGGTAAAAGATAATCATGAGATTCCCTGAAATGGGTCTTTATAGGAGAATAATCACCAGGTTTTTAAATGCATAATGCTATAAGCACCATAAGGATTGCTTTCATCTCTCCTTATTCATTCAGAGGTTTGTAAAATATGGATTTTGTAAAAAGAGTGATTGTTTTTATTTTGTCCAACCTTCATACAAATAATCCTCCTGTTTCTCTGATAAAACCAATTGCTTATAGAAAGCAGAAAGAAGGCAATTTTGATATTGTGTCTGGAACAAGATATAAAGGAAACGGAGGAGTATATGGCTGGGATTTGAAAAGAAAATTAATCAGGTTGGTATTTTTCTACATATTTACACATAAATATGTTATTTAGAAACAGTAATTCCGAGGATTCAGCTCAGTCTGAGCTGAACTGAGTCTTCAGTCAATAGTACTGGGTACTGCAAAATTATGTTAAGTAATAGAAGCATGAATGGTTTGCAAATTCCTTAGTTAAAACCCACCAAGAAGGAATGTAATGACATAACTAAGCTTGAGAAATGGGTTGGAACAGTGAACAAACCTGCCTGGTGTCAGGTTGGGACAGTCAGCTTCATCATCCAGCAAATGACCTGAGACTGTTGTAAGTTTAAAAACACATTTAGTTAGCTCTACCAGCTGTAACCAGCTTTTCCCTAGGAGTAAATCACTTGCTAAACCCCTCTGTTGAAGCTCTGATTTGTCATCAGTTAAGGATTACCTGGCGTGATCAATGCTAACAAGTGATTGCTTAGACCTTGCTAGAAAACAGTTACAATGAACACCAGCACAAAGAGGAAAGTTCTGTCAAGGTTGTACAAGCATATGGAGGCTGATGTCTCAGGTTTACAGGGGCTTACAGACTCTGAGGAGGTAGTTGACAAGTTTCTGCATAGTCTTTCACACCTAATTTAAGAGAATAGGAATAATTTATATGTTACTGTAAAGAATTAGGAGCAGAAGTTGTGTTAGCAGTCTGATCTGGAGGTGATACCACAGGGACTGTGTTTGGGACTTCTGTTTTTAATGCTGGAATAAGTGCTCACCTTTTTGTGAATGTAAATAAAATCTACACCCAGCAAAAGAGCTGAATAGACATTACAGAGGAATCCTTTTACTTCGTGCTGGACAAGGTGAAGGATTTACACCTTTTATCAGTGTGTAATAGAGTCCTCAGCAAGATAATCGTAACTGGCCTCTCAGTGTTGTGACATTCTTCATCAGTGGAGATGATCCTTATCATGCTATAAGAGCAGTGTTACCAAAACTGAACCTTGATTTTTTTTAATCCAAGTCTCACATTTGTCCAGGAAACATTTTTATTCTCCGCCTACAGTGAATGTTAGAAGAAAAACATTTTGGCTGTTGTCAGATGTATTGTCTCAGTGTGTAGTTGCACTAACAGTTCTGCCAGAAAGAACCAGATTGTAAACCTGATTTCTAGAAACCATTTTCTCCTTCATAGTTCAATAATCTACTGATAATCTGTTTGAAATGCAAACATTAGGTTTTCATTTCAAGATTCTGTGATTTATTTGTCAAATCTAGAAGTGAAAATGTATTAGAAATAGTTTCATTTTCCTTTTTCTTATTTTCTTTGCTGGTAGGATGATTTTTGCTTCTTTTCTAGAAATTCCGCTTGATCTTCTGGAGTTGTGCACTGAGCAATTCTGACATTCATCTTTTCTTTCACAGTCGTGGTGCCAATTTTCTGACTCAGGTTTTGCTGCGACCAGGTGCATCAGACCTAACAGGGAGCTTCAGGTATGGGTCTGGTTTCCAATTCGTCAAGTTTATTTGAAATTAAGAAACTGCTGAACAAGGAACTGGAGGAAGAACAGACCTTCCTTACTGAGGGCTATGAAATCTGTTTGGAAAGGTGTAAGAAACAGACTAGATTGCAAGAACTGACTTTGTTAAAGATTGGTTTTTAAATAGCAATCATCTGAGTGAGTGATTCCAGTTAAAATTCCTACGCACTGTCTTGATTTCTAAAGTTCAGACGTTGTGCTTCAGATTTCTCTTTTCTTTTTGTAATCATTTACAGGTTATACAGAAAAGAAGTCTTAGAGAAGCTAATGGAAAAATGTGTTTCTAAAGGATACGTCTTCCAGATGGAGATGATTGTTCGGGCTAGACAGTTGGGATATACTATTGGAGAGGTATAGTGAAAGTTGTGATAAATATATTGTGCTTTCATTTCAATGTAGATACAGATTACTGGGAAAGCAGGAAGTTTTGTGAGCTTCCATGAAGCAGCAAGATTATCAAATCGATCCAGAAAGGTTACATATGTACAACTCTATTTTCCCAGCTTTTCCAGGTGAATAGGAGATCTGAAATCCAGCTGCATATTCATTCCCCTGGCTGATATGCTGCTCAGATCCTTCTCTTCTCCTGTTGCGATTTCTTTAGCCACATACAATTTTACAAGTTTTTTCAAATGAGGGAAGGCTAAAATACACAGTGAAGCTGCCCTGAGCCTTTTCTTTCCTCCTTCATATTGTACAGACATCTCTAGTTAGGTCTTTTCAAATCACTTTGTTTTCTCCACCAACCTGATTCTATTTCAGATTTAGTCTGCTCTCCATCATTTATTGCCTTGTTATTTTCCAACTTGCCACTTCTAAACCCTTTGAATGTGCTGTCTACCATTAGAAAAGAACTCCAAATAACTGGTAGCTGCTGTATTTCCAGCAGTCTGATTGTGCCCTTTTATGTTTCACTGAATTGCTCTTGCTGGTGTCTTTAAAGATGATTTCTTTTCTCTGGAATTCTTTGTGAATCTCAGAACCAGTTCCTTCATCATAATTTTCATGACTGACTTGTCAGAGAATTCTGTTGGTGGTACTTACCTCTCTAAACCTGAACATCTTGCACTTCTCGATCACCATTGGGCAGAGAATTTCCACACAATAAAGCAAGTTCTTTTCTTCCACCTTTCTCACTTATGGAGCAACATCACTATCCTGTTCTTAGCTGAGGTTTACAGTATTTTCTTTGGTCTTCCCATCCAGCTGGAGTCATGTACTGCTTTCTAGTATTACTGAATTAAATCCTCACCTGTACACCCAGAAACTGAAAACTCGGGCGAAATGGGGTTCATTTACAATACATTTTTAAAACAGTAAAATACAGTTCTCTGGCTTGAAAAAATTCAGTCTTGGATTGTTTATACCTCTTAAGGCTGCTCCTGCAAAGACCTTTTCTCTCCCTATTATTTGATTCCCACCATCGATGTATTTACATGCCACTACTGGTTGCATAGCATCAAATATAAGACGTTTGTCCTCTGGTTCAAGGCCTAGCAGTCTTGACTAAGCTTAATGTCTCTCCATCAGTGGTGGCGCACGTGCTCTCTTCTGTCATGGGTCAGTTACACCATCCTCCATAATTCAGCTGTATGTTCTCAAGCATCTCCTTCCCTCTGCCTTTGGATTCTCACAGCTGGGAAGAGTTCTCCCTAACATCTGAAAAGTTGCTTCATTGTTCTGCTTTGCCCTTGCCTTTAGGATTGCCTTTGTGATATCTGTAACAAACACGACAGTATTCAGGTTGCTGATGCATACCTAGCATGACTATGGTATTTTTCCTGTTCTCTGTATCATCTCTGTGTTGTAGCTTCCTGGAGTAGGAAATTTTCCATTACATTTCAAGTGCATTGATACAGTATTTCCTGATCATTACTTATGATCTTTACATAGTTTATAATTATCCAAACCGTAATACTAAAATTCCAGCAGAGGTGACACTCACACATCTCATTCCTGGTTTGCAGGTGCTGGAACTTTACACACAGAAAAGGGGGTTTATGCAGCTGTAAAATGTAGATACAATTCTGCCAGAAAAATATTTCTTAAGCAAAGTTGAAAATGAAGATTGAGACCTGCCAGTCTAATAGGAACAAGGGGATAATGAGATGAACTGGCATGAGCCATACCTGAATAGTCTTGTTTGCATCTGTTTCATTTTGCTGTACTTCTTTACTATACGTGAAATGTACCACAGTGCATGGAATACACCCTCTGGAAGATGCTTCCTTTAGAGTAATGGTAGAACTTCTTATGCAAGAAAGGCAAAGTCCAGAAGCAACATGGTGGTTAACTCCTATATTGAAGGGCAAGACTGACACCTTTTACTACATGAGATGTTAACCATTCTTTCATCGTGAGTCAGGAAATGTCACTGCTATGACTACATATTCAGTAGCGCCCCATAGATCAGCTGTCTGTACTTGCTTGGGATCATCAAAGGGACTCTACTAAGAAAGCCAGAGCCACTGCTGAGTCTCTCTGGATGCCTTTTTAGGTATCTTTTTACCATTTTCTTGCCCTGAGTTCTCTTCTACCATTGACTGAGCTAGAGTTGTGAGAAGTCCTCAGCCCTGGCACACATGCAAGGGTGTGGTGGGTTTTGTGTCCTGCTTGCCAGATGATTGTGGTTGAAGCTGCCAGCAGAACACTAAGCCAGTTTTCTAATGACTTTTGCAAATGCAGTTCTTTATTCCAGTCCCTGAAGTATTTTAATTCTGCATATAAACATGTATGGAAATTCTTGAATATTCTAATACAGTGTTGGCAGAATGTCCTGTTTATGTCATCTGTATGTGATGTAATTACTGAAAAGCAGCATTTACCCAGAGTTTTATGAGTAGGGAGTTAATCTGGTCAGTATAATCACTTCAGTAAGGAAACCCAAATTAGTGTTTTAAATGCCCTCTAATCCTGTAAATATTCTATAAAATGGTCAAAGAGCAATAAAGACAGGCATTGCTTGTAAAATATACACCAGCTGCCATACCCAGATGTCATCTTCCAGGCAGTGGTGAGGTGCAGAATACTGTTTCATGGTGGCGGGAAGTTTTTGCCTCCCTGAGGCGTTGACTCAAAGGTATTGAATTTCAGTGCAGGAAAGCAGTGAAGGTTCATTTTAAACCCCCAGGCTTTCAGTACACTTAAGCTATTAAGTTTCTTCTGACTGGTGTATCATCCAGCCACTGAGTAGTGTCTTTGGATCACCTTTAAAGGTGATAAACCAAATAATTTCATGCTCCCCAGCTATGGGGCATCATTAAAACCACCAGTAAGAGCTGGCACAAAGGAAGCTGATCTGATGTTTGCCTTCTTCCCATGTCTAAACCTGCTGTAGTTCAAAAGCCATTCTTATGTTTACAGTATTTATGATTCTTAAGGTTTTGAACCTTAAAAATAGTTTTGCTTGTTTCAACAGGTTCCTATTTCATTTGTGGACCGTGTCTACGGAGAATCTAAACTGGGAGGCAATGAAATAGTCTCCTTCTTAAAGGGGCTCTTGACCTTGTTTGCTACAACGTGATAGTTTATCCTAAATTAACTTTTTTAGGAAACCCTTTTCTGACATCTGTGTGGTTTTTAGTACATAATAGCAGAAGCCTGATAATTTGTGTGGTGACCAGAAGACCTTCTATAAACTAACAGTTAAATAAACCACCAGTAATGAACTACATATGTTGTACCCCAGAATGCTCCTTTCAAAATAAATGAACTGAATGTTAAACTAAAACCTAATAAAGACTAATGCTCTATTCTATTTTTGTAACAATAATGAAGTCTTAATAAAGAACTAATGATCTTTTGCATTCAGAAATGAATCATTATTCAGCAGAAGCTAAAGATGATTTTGAAATGAAGACAAGCAAGGACATAAAGAGAATACAGAATTTATCTTCTCTTTGTTCTGTGGTTTGCAGATAGTATTTTAAATATATACCAATTAGTTCCCTTTGCTCAGCACAGAGAGACATGTATCTTAAATCAGACATAGAACAGTCTACAGCACTGATAAAACCTAGGTAGCTTAAGACGAAACCCAGATGAATACAGTGATTTGTTCTTTGTAAAGCTGTTCCTAGACTGGAAAGAAGGAATATTCTTTGGATAAGAAAGAGAATTGTAGGTGTGGAATAATTTTGTATTCTGTGTATTTGTCCAGAAGCAGGTGATTCCCTTTTCCCATTTTCTTTAGAATCTAAACATTTTTAGAACCTGTAAAACAAGACTATGGCATCTCACCCAGCTTCAGGGTGAGACCCAGTTCACCTCACTGGATCCGAGAGGTTTTTCTTTGGTCAAACAACAGTTTGCAATGTGGAATCTGTCTTTGTTCCAGATCCTGATAAATGAAACACAAACAAGTAACACTGGGGTTTTTTTGTTTCATGTTGTTATATGGATGAAGAATATGTCCCATTTTTGGGGGGTGAGAGTAGTTCTGTGGATATCTGTATGAGAAAATTAATGTTAGGAGAAGCCACAGATGTTGCTTAAAAATGATGCCTATTTGGCTGGTGTTTGTATTTCTTTAGTACAGTAGATAGAATTTTTAATATTAGAAAAATTAAATAGAAAGTTTGTAAATAAATGATAAATTCATATCTCAGTTACTTATCACAGTGACAAAAATGGTTAAATACAACTTTAAAATGACAGCATGTTTTCTAAGGGACTGCTTTAGACATACTCCTTTCTTTAGTGATGTGCTACAGATTCTGGTATTTCTCTCCTTTCCTGACTATTCAGAGCAAACATTAATTTGCCTTAAAATAATACAAAACCTATAGCTGTAGGTTTTGAATCTACAAATCACTGGATTAGTGACTTAACTGTACGTTTTGTGACATTTGCCTGTACTTTTCCAGCAAATTACATATAATTTCATTTGGTGCAGGCTAATCAGATTTAATATTCTATACAGAAATAAATCTCTGGCTCTAGAGGGCCACTGAAATCTCCAGTGAGTAAGTTTCATCTACTTATGTTCCATTATGAGGTTTTGTGGCTAAAATCAACATTTTAGATAGGTACAAAGTTTTTAATGACCCAATAGGGAGTTCTTAGATGTTTATTCAGATTTACATACTACTGAGAACCATTTGGTAGAATACAAATTGAGCCTCAACCAGGTCATATTTTTCTCAGGCTTTTATCTAACAATGTATAACTAAAGTCCATTGTAACAGTTACTCATAACCTAAGTGCTCTGAGTTAGGGTTTAGCTTTTAGAATGTGCATGCCTCCTTTGTGATTATGAAAATGACCTGGGAAATTTCATTTGCCTGTTTATGAGATCATGTTTGGAGGAAGGTGCTTTTTAAATTAAGATCATAATACATGGCATGGATTCTGTGTGCTCTGGTGTGTCAGAGTTTGAAACGTGACTGGGCTATATTCCAGTTTTAAGTAAATAGGTGATAGTTCTTATTTGCTTAAAGGGAAATATTTAAGATATGAAGAAAGTAAAGACACAAAAACAAGGGCTTCATGGCATCAGGACACAAGTAGACACTACAACGCTTCTTAAAACAAGAAAAGGTCATAAGCATGAAACTGATTTCACTACCCTGCACCTACCTACTTGTAGAAAGCCCTGCTGAAAGGAACTAATACATGGATCTAGTGGGAATAAAAGGAATTAAAAACATCCCTCAACACCAGCAGGTTGAGAGAGGAGATTCTCCCCTTCTACTGAACTCTTGAGAGACCCCCCCTGCAGTCCTGCATCTGGTGCTGTGGCAACAACACAAGAGGGACATGGAGCTGCTGGAGTCCACAGGAGGCCACGGAGCTTCATCAAGGGCTGGAGCAGCTCTGCTCTGGAGCCAGGCTGAGAGAGCTGGGCTGGTTCAGCCTGGAGAAGAGAAGGCTCCTTAAGGGGAGACTAAAGTGCCTAAGGGGCTGACAAGAAAGCTGGAGAGGGGCTTTGGACAAGGGTAGGTAGGGACAGGACAAGGGGGAATGGCTTTAACCTGACAGAGGAAGGATTTCAATTAGATGCAAGGAAAAAATTCTTCCCTGTGAGGGTGCTGAGGTGCTGGCACAGGCTGCCCAGAGAAGCTGTGGCTGCCCCATCCCTGGCAGTGTTCAAGGCCAGGTTGGACGGGGCTTGGAGGAACCTGCTCTAGTAGAAGGTGTTCCTGCCCATGGCAGGGAGGTTGGAACTGGGTTATCTCTAATGTCCCTTCCAACCCAAACCATTCTGTGATCTTTAAAATCCCTTCCAACCCATTCTGTGATTCTGGTATTCTATCATCCATATTTCTTGTTTCTCATTTTCCTTTTCCTATTTTTTATAGACCCTGCTTATCCCCTCATCATAATTAGTCTTTCTAATTTCCTCAGACAGAAGCCGCACCACACCCTACTGTTCTCACAGTGTTAGTAGCAGACTATAGTAACATGACAGTTCTACTATAGTCTTTAGGGATCAGGTGCCTAGAACTCCATACAATGTCTTAAATATTCATGTAGTAGAGATTTATACAGTGACAGTTTTCAGTTCCTTTCTTAATATCATGGCAATACTTGCCTTGTTTTGGCCACCACAAAACACTGACTTGACATTTACAGAGAATTTTCCATTTTATGTCCCTGGTTTTACAGTTCCACATGGAATCAGGTTTTCTCAGTTACATCCATATACATTTCCTAAGAAGGCACAAATAGCTAATGCACTTTCTCTATTATACTTTCTTAGGAGTCTGTGTCAGCAAGCACTCAATCACTTGGCAAGAACAGCAGTTTTAATTCCTTCCTGGCTTAAATCTGTATATATCATATATACATTTGGTTGGGCATGTTTAATGAAGAGGGGGGAGATGGTAACTCACGTTATGCACCAGTAAAATTCACTTTCTCCTGAACAGCAAACCGATTGCCTCCACTGGCAGGCAGGCAAGACCCTGGGAAGAGCTTCTTCTGTTACTATGGGCTAGAGATTTAAGGTGGTGTATGAAAAACCTTACACAGCAGGCTCAGTTGTTCAGACCCATTAGACAGCCAAAGTGTGCTGAGCTTCAAGCATGCAGTTCTGGAGTTTTGCATGGCATATCCCTAGGATTATCCATGAGCTAGGTTTGGTGCTTGCACTCTGGTTTGACCGTGCTTCTGAATGCACACCCTAGTCAGAGCTCTGCTGACTGACTTCAGCAGCCCTCTATCAGCATGAAGTGTTTCATCAGACAATCTGAAGCCCCAGCTGGGAGGTGAAACACATAATTGGGGGCTACTAAAATAGATACTGCCCCTTCTCGAAGGACTTTGCACCTGATGAGCTATACTACATGGCAGGAGGGCTTTGGGCAGCTGTGGTCTCCTCATACCCCACACTCTCAAATAGCCCTGCCACAGGGATATGCAGTACAGTTCACACCCTGCGGTATAACTGTCTCTCTTACTCACATGAGGATTTAGGTATGTAATTCATAAAGGCAAGCAGTTTAATCCCCCTGACCTAGATCATAATGATTCTGAAGCTGGAACAACGACTTCAGACAGCCAAGGCTTCGTTAATGTATCCAACTGAATGTGAAGCCAGCATCAAAATGAGATCCCGAGCTTATCTTGTTCGGGTTTTGTGGGTGAGGATTTGTCTGATCTGAGGTTGGAGGGAATTAGCTGCAGTTTTGGTTTATGGAGTTTTTTAAAATCTGAGCCTGCAATAAAGATGTACCTAGTTGCCAATATAAGCACTATAATAAAACATATTTTCCAGTGGACTGCGTAGAAAGCCAACTGCAAGGTTGCACAACCTTCTGCATATCCACAGTAAAATATACTGATGACTAATCAATAATATTTATTTAAGGGTCTATCAAGATTCCAGTATAAACATGGATTGAAATCTTGGCACAATGAATTAAATGACAGATTGCCTACTGAGTTCAGTGCGTTGATGACTAGAGCAACAGCTTTTCAGTGGTTAGCATTCCAGAATTCAACATGAGGATCACTATGACCACGGTATATGCAGACGAGAGGATTGCTTATCAACCTTTATCACTGTTTTATGACACATCAGCTGCAAGGTGCCATGCTGAGGAAGACATGAATAAAAGAGGTAATCACAGAGATTCCGTAAGCACAGAAACTTTTTTTTACTTCTCTGTTCCGGCCACATTTTACCTTCTGGTAGCCATTTGTAACTTCTTACAGATTGTGATTGTTACTGTTCAGGAGAAAACATACTGGTACTGGAGAGAAGGAAATGGAATTGCAACTTTTAACCAAAAATTCAATTGGAAAACTCCACACTTGAGAGAGAGATTTCACCAAAGCAGCAGTGGGCAGAGACCATAGTGTGGAAGGTTATTGCAGCAAGGTTTGTTGCACTGACTTTTCAACAGAAATGGCTATCAATGGTACATCATCATAAAAACCCAAACCAACAACAAGAAGCTACCTTATGTTTGGCTCACAAACATCTTTCCTGTTTTGACTTCTGCAAACATGTTGCACCCTAGGTGAGCCCAGACAAAACCACAGTTGAGAGCTTGATGTTTCCTGGGAAGCTCAGGGGGGCTATCAAGCTCCCAAAATGCTGTGCTCTCAGGAAGGGAAAGATCTGAGCACTGAATTATACTTACACTTTTGTTCCAGAACAGGAAAGATCTTGACTGAGCTCCTACAATCACTGTTGAGAATGCTTTGGGGACTTCTGACCCATTACTTCTATGCAATCACATGGGGGATACCCAGGAATTAAGTAATTCGTTTTACTTACTACATGGTGAGTTTCATGGCATGGCTGTAATGTGTTTGGAGAGCTCTCGTTTCCAATCCAGTTTTGCATCCTGCTTGCTCTCTCAAGGAAGGCACATGGCAGTACTTCTGATGGGTGGATTCTGTCAAAATAATGGTATTACTTACTGTAATACAGAATGCAGGGGAGGTAAAAAAGACAAGCTGCTTGAAAGTGATGGGTAACGGTTGGACTTGATGATCTTAAAAGTCTTTTCCAGTCTGGTTGATTCTATGATTTATCCTAGATAAGTTACTGAAATACTGAAGTTAGGTGATTTTTAAATTTTAAGCAAGTCTCTCACGCAGTGAATCCTGTCTGGATGCAGTGTTTCTGAACACAGTGATAACATGCAAGACATCAATCCCACATCCGCAGACAGAACGCAATTTGTCTTGGCAGCACAGCATCACCTCCAAAGCATGTGACACTTGACTGACCAGCTTCCAAGGGAAATTTAAGTGTCACATACGACAGATCAATTTCTCACTGGTCTGACTAAGACATCAACTTTTCCTTTCAGGTTATCTCAACCCACTAAGCAAACCTATCTGAAGCATCTCTAATCACAGAGCCGCTCAGTAGGAGTACCTTCTCAAAAAACAAGGAGAAAAGAAGAGTACTTTGTGTCAAGGCATAGTTCTTCCCTACTTTCACCTTGATACAGACTAAATCTTGTTCCTTCCTGACTGCTTTTCCCAAAGTCATCTTCATGGAAGAATGTCAGAGAATTCTAACAAATGATGAAGTGTCTAAATAGCACTGGAGCTGAATGGCTTAATGGGTCTCTAGGATCATTGTCAAACCACTGATCTCAATGCTCCTGAGGATTAACTTGGGTTTATTACTTAATTACTTATGTTTGGTGCTTACAGCCATTGACAGTTGTTTCAGTTATTTTGTATTTGAATAAAAACCACAGCCCCACTGCTGAACTAGTACAATTACAAATGTGGGCACAATTTTGACCTGAATCAATAGCACAACACAAGTCCAATTATACCTATTCCACTTTGGATTGCTAATTGTGTCCTTGCTGGTGTTAAGTGTTTAGGGCTATGATTTTACCCATTTTTCTAGTGGTCACAGTCTATTGTGAGAAACAATGCCCGCTTCAGTAATATAAAAAGTGTATTAAGACTATTATCATCAACTTCTGTTTCATTTTGTTCACCTCACTCTGTACACACAGGAGAAAAAGAGACTCAAGGCTCCTTTTCTCCTTCCCCACTGCTGGGGTTTTCCCTTTAAAATCAATCTTTTCACACAAACTTTGTTTTATCCTCATGTTTCAGTACAAGTCCCAGTACAGTACCTACTCTAGGAAGGCAAACTGAAGTTATAGTAGAAAACCCAAGCCAGCTTTCCTTGCTCTCCCTAGTTGAGATGTATTTCACATACGAGTATTGCAGTGGAACTTTAATGTACCTCAGTTCTAGAATCCCTTTCAGCACTGAAGCACCAGCTTTGTTTTTTGCAGGTAAGTTTTGTGTATTTCTATTCTGTTGCATGTGACTTACGCAGTCTTACGACCACTTGTGTGAAGATACCATGAACGTACCTGGTGAAACAAAGGTCTGCAGATGGTCACCAACAGCGTACTTCTAAATTCTGCTCAACTAAAAAGATTTCAAGCAAGCTAACAACACAATATCACTGAATTGTCCATAACAGCTACTTATGTGATTGTGATACACAGCCATTTACATACCACCAGGGTATCGGTCACTCGAAAATGTAGGAGATCTTTGAGTTTTAGGAAGTCTAAGTAATTTATGACAACTTTTCTATGCTTTTATACTAAAGGCAATAACTTTAAAACACAGATTGTTCTTTTCTAGTATTGCAAGTCTTAGTTATAGCATGTGTGACTCTGAACCAGACAGGTTTTTGATGCTGAGGATGGAACCGCACTTCATCCTTCAGCTGTTTGTGTAGCTTTGAAGTAACAAACCCCAACATTCCCTTTCCCTTGCAGAATGTCTTTTTACAGCTCTATCAAATTGGACCTCATTTGCTGAGGAGATCTTGAGCATGTTTGTCTTCACCCACCGGGCACCATCAATCACACGTGGAGCCTTGTCACGATCCAGATGTTACAGCAGGTCATCAACCTCTCAAGCACTGTTTCGGAGCCGCGTGTGTATGAACACATGTGCACGAGGCTCGCCAGGCACATGACTGACATCCACCTTCGGGCAACCGCTTGCCTTCAGTAAACTGGGCCAAAATACGGCAGTTTTAGCTTCCAGAGAGCGCGTGAGGCAGACCCCGCCACCTCACCGCCCCCCCAGCTGCCTGTGCTGCACCAGCGAGGCCGTCGCCCAACTCGAGGCTTGCTCCCTTGATGCTCGCAGGGCTGCGGGTGCGGGCCCCTCCGCCGGGCGGTCCCGCGGAGCGGTGCGGTGAGGAGCGGTGAGGTGCGGAGCGGTGCGGTGAGGAGCGGTGAGGTGTGGTGTGGAGCGATGAGGTGAGGTGAGGTGTGGAGCGGTGAGGTGCGGAGCGGGGAGGTGAGGTGCGGGGAGGTGAGGTGCGGTGTGGAGCGGGGAGGTGCGGTGAGGAGCGGTGAGGTGCGGTGTGGAGCGGGGAGGTGCGGTGTGGAGCGGTGAGGTGCGGAGCGGTGCCCTCAGGCCGCGCTGCGCTGTCCATGGTGTGAGGCGCCGCGGACCCCTCGCGAGGGGTGGCCCCGCCCCTGCCGGCGGAGCGCGGGGCGGGGCGGGCGCACCCTGAGGCGCTGCCGCCGAGGCCGCCGCACGAGACCGTGTGCCGAGGGCCGCGCGGTCACGTGCTGCGCTCACCGCGGTCACGTGGGCTGTGCGACTCGACTCGCCAGGCGCTGAGCCCCCGCCCCGGCCGGCCCCTCAGGACAGGATGTAGTCCCGGCCGGGGGCGGCGGAGGGATAACCGGGGCGGTGTCAGCTGCCTCTCTGGCCCCAGCCGCAGGGCGCGGCGCCTCCTAGCGGGTCCGGGGTAGATCCCGCCGGCGGCTCCCTCCGTCTGTCTCTCGCGAGAGCGCCCCCTCCACCGCCCCCTGCTCGACGGGGTTATGTAACCGGGCCGCCCGGCGGCGGCGGGCCGCGGCCCGCGGGGAGCGATGTGGCTCCGGGCCGCGGGAACACACCGGGGCTCCGGCCCCCTCCCCTCCGGGGCGCGGCCCCCTCCCCTCCCGCCGGACAATGAGTCCCGTATGCTAATGAGAGTCTCGCGTCACTTCCGCTCTTTCTCGGCCGCCATCTTGTCCAGGGCAGGTTCTGGGCAGGAGGGACCCGGCTGTATTGTCTGCAGGGAGCCCCCCCCGCCCCGCAGCCCCACACCCCCCGCCCCGGGGACCGAGCCCAGTGAAGCCGCCGCCCCCGCCCCGCGGGACCCGCTCACCATAGGCCACCCCCCCGCACACTCGCCCCCTCTCCCCCCCCCCCTCCCGCCGCCATCCAGCCCCCTTTGTCTCCCCCGCGCCGCCGCCGCCGGCTCCGCTCCGCCCGCCCGTCCAGGGACCCGGGCGGCGCCAGGGAGGCAGCTCCGCGCACCCCCACCCCCAGCCAGAGGTGCCGGGGGAGCGCCCGCCCTCGCTGCTGAGGAGAGCCCCAGTCAGGTAGGTGTGTGCGTGAGTCCGCGGTCCGACCCGGGCGGGGGCAGCCCCCGCCCGCCCCCTCGCTCCCTCCCTCCGCCCGGCGGTACCGCGGTCCCCGGCAGCCCCGGCCCCGACGGCGGAGCGGGAGTTCCGCGCCCGCCCCGAGGGGCACGAGCCCCGCGCCGTGCCGGCCGCCCTGCGCGCTGCAGCCGGGGGGCTGCGGAGGAGTTGGCGGGCGGCCCCCTTCCCCCAGCCGCACACATGTTGAAGGGACTTGACCGCCTTGGGGAGGCCGGTTCCGCTCCGGCCGGCTGCGGGGACCGCTACGCTGCCGGCTTCCCTCCCCTGTGCGCGGGGCCCGCGCGGCGCAGGCAGCCCCAGCCTCCTCCCTTCCCCCTCCTGGTGGGGGGGGACCACACATGGACGTGTCCCGGGAGCGGCGGCGGGGGCTGCGGTGGCGGTAAGGCGATGAGCGGGGTGATGACTTGGTGGCAGGGGCCGGCATCCTGGCACTGCCGGCAGCCGGGCGCGGGTCCCGCCGGCTGAGCGAGGCCCCGGAGAGCGGCGCTGGCGGGGAGCAGCCGCCTCCCTCCGGCAGCCTCTGCCCGCGGGAAAAGGCGCGCTCTGCTGCCGCTGCCCCGAGCCGGGCACCAGCCGCAGGATGGAGCGTCGTTGACTCACCCATCCCTCCATCCCCTGCCTCGGGCTACAGTTACCGACACCCGTTGCTCAGACAAAGGCGGGGGAAATCAAACCCTGGAGCCCCGCGCCGCCGGCGGGAGCTGCACCCTCCTTGTCACGCACCCCCTTCGCTTGGCGGCTGTAACCCGGGGAGGGGGGGCGGTGGAGGCGGGAAGGGGAAAGGGGGGTGATTTCCACAGCAGGTACGCGGTGCACGCGGCGCGGGTTTCCCGGTCAGTCGGTATTGTCGGTCCCGGGTTATGGCCGTGCGAGAAAAATACCAGCCCCCACCCAAAATGCACCGCAGCCCAGCGCGGCGCGCGGAGGCAGGCGGTAGGGGGCGCCCTCCCCGCGCCGGGCAGGGCTGCGGGGAGTTGGGGGGGAGCGAGCGGGGTTGCGGGGCGGGGGAGCGGCCGCAAAGCGCCTGCTGCGGCCCCGGGCGGGACGGGACCTGCAGCCCCGCAGCGCACCTCACCTGGCTGGGGCTGGGGCTGGACGGGAGGCAGGGGGCAGGGTGTCGGTCGCTGTATCGCGCCTCGGTTGTGGCTGGTGGTGCCGCTCGCTCTATAAACTTGCATGGCTTTCTTTTTCTCACACGTTCTGAGCGCATGGCTGCAGCGGTGGAAACTTGAGCGTGAGGTGTTGCTGAAGCGTCGAGTGCTTTGTCTGGGGCCATGGGCAAGAGTTGGGATAACGAGGCACTTTGAGGTCTTCATAGTCTTTGCTTATTGGATGTATTTAAGCCGTTTGGTAGGTGTGAAACAGGGTTTTCTTCCTTTTAGAGACCTTCCCTGTTTTCTAGGTTGTTTTTACTAGCTGTCTTTCTATTTATTTTTACTACTGTTTTCTGTTGGGAGGCCCAAGGTGTGAGCTAATGGAGACGTGTGATTCCTACCTGTCAGGGTACATGGACTCATCGTAGCTGCCTCCTGTGTGGGCACATCCAGTACATGCTGCAGGCCACCAGCATCGCTGCCTCTTGCAGGGTCTCAGCTACTTGGAAGAACTTGCACTTTGGGGACTCTGGTAACTGTGTAGTTACAAGTTGCCATCCTTCTAGGTGAGAAAGACATCCAGTTTAAAAAACAGAAAAGCATTGCTTTTGGTTTTGCTTTTAATAACAAACCAAAACTTGGTTCCCTTTTAGATTTGCATTTGCAGATGTTGGTCAGTAATTTGATATCAGCACATCAACGTCTACTGTGATGGGTGTTGAAATCCTAAAACGTTAAGAAGAGACAACACTCGTGTTGTCTCTTTAGATACACCCCATTGCTAATAACATTGCACTTGAAGCTGATGGGTTGTAATATTTCCTGAAGATATATTACAGCAAGTTCTTAAACTTCATTCAGAATAGAATGACACACAACAAGCAACTTGCTCTCCAAAAGTAATACTCAGCTAAATGTTTTTGTACTGGTTTTTTATAGTAAGCTGCCCTTTGCTAAAATTATTTCTTAATTAACTTCTTAAAATGCCTTTTTGGTATCTAACAGAAATGAAATGCCTCTAGCATTTGGGGATAACTCTCCAAGATCATTGCAAACTGATGTATTTTTAGTGCCCCATTATTTAAAATGCCCCTTTTTTTTTCTTTTTTTTTTGTTTTTTAATTTGAAGTGATGGTCCATCAGACAGATTCATAGAAAGCATCTCTTTAGGTTACTACTATTTATGCTTCAAAGTATATTGTGAGGAACTGCTAGAGCTTAGAAGTCATTAAAAGCTTGTAGGATGACCTGGGGTTTAGGAGTGAGATTTTTGGATACGCGAGGGGTAAGGAAGGTGAAAGGTGGCTGCCTTTGCCTGTAGGTAAGACAGACAAGAGGTTGAGCAGTATCTGCTCTCAGAAGTGCTTGGGAATGAAACCTTCACAGGAGAGGAACTTCCTGACTGTTTTGGAAAGTTCTTGCCCTGTGGTATTAAGCATCAGCTGCACAAACAGAACATCTAGGAAGGCTGTGTGTGCTCTTCAGGATGAGATGAATAACTTTATGTTTTTCTGTATAGGTAGGATACAAGTTACCAGTTGTCAGAAGATGCCCATTAGCATTTTCAGAATTGGTATGTGTTACAGTGGTATATTACAGCAGCATTTTAATTAAGCTTTAATAGCATAAAGTATCACTTGTTAGGTACTTACCAAGCTGAACTCCACAGTTACTGAATTCACTATTCAATTCTAGATGAATGCAGGTACAAATTTTCTGTGGCAGGTAAGTTGTGCTTCTGGCACACTGCAGAGTGAATAATAATAGATGATTATTCCCAGCCCAGCTCAACCACTCCATAAGAACAGTAAATACAGAGTAAATATTAAAATTTAAAGAGCATTCCTGGAATACATAAATATACCAGTAGTCAAAAGTCAGACAGCCCAAATCTGCATTTTATAACTTTCTAGTAAGATGGCAGCTGATTTGATAGATGTAAGGAAAAGAAATTGGAACCAATGTGCGGGAGCAAAGACAGCTCATGGGTTAATGTATTTATTTTGAGGTGGCTGCAGATAAGATTTAGCAAAATTATTAGGGTGAATTTTGTGGGTTTATGTTTGGGTTGTGTTTTGGGGGTTTTGGTTTGCTTGGGGCTTGGTTTTGATTTTTTTTCATACATCAGGAATGAAGAGGAGAATGTCAGATGTAATACGGGTCATTGTCTGAGGGGTCTGTAGGACGTGGGTGCAGGAGAGAGGCAGCAGGTAGCTGTAGGACTGCAGTCATTCAGGCGATTAATGTGGGTCACAGGTATCTTTTGATCTGCTTTATCTGCATGGCAAAGATGGGATATTTCTGAAATTGTCAGTTCAGATGAGATTGTATGTTAATAATGTTTGCTGGGATTTCCTTTAAAGGTGTATGTAAATGCTTGCTTAAAAAAGATAACAGCGAATTTGTATTGGCCTGCATCTAAACAAGCATTAGAGTATTTGTTATTAAATAAAGATCTGCTCTGTGCTCACATTTTTATTAACATAATGTGGAGGTAATCCCGCTCATAGAAATAGATCTGTTGATACAAGGGTATGCTTCCTAGTACTAGTGTAAGCAGTGGAGATGAGAAGAAAAGGTGCCGGTCTAAGGACAATGTAATGGCAATGTCTGTATATGCTTTGGAAGAAAAAACCTCAGGATTATGTTAATTTAGTTTAAAAAAAAGAAAAAATCCTCTACGTTTTGTGTAGGTGAAAGGTGTGTTCTGACTCACTGGACACATTTTGGGAAGAACACCCTTGCGTTGCTGGTCAGGGCAGCCAAATGAACCTGCTCATTTTGTGCTTTCGGGAAATAGCTAGATCCGATACAAAAACTAAATACATGTTCTAGGTTTGAATCAAGACATTTTTGGAGCGGGTGTAACTCAGTTATCTACCTGAGGGCCATATGCCTCAAGGAGAAAGCTGCATTGTTCAGAGCTTCACTATAGCTAGCTGGTGTTGAAAGGCAAACATGAGGCTTGAATTTAGTGTCTCAGTCTTATTTCACAGTAGTGCTTTTGGATGAGTATGACAGTTCTTGGTTTGAATAAGAATGGAATAAATACCGTGTTTTTTTTCTGCAGTGAGTCAGTTGAGTTACCACCATTTATATCCTTGCTTTTTTTAAGGTAGCATTAGAGATAATTTGGGTGAAAACACCTTAACAGGCTGTTGGGTCCTAAACCTGTGTAGTTTAAGCTATGAACACATCACACCTGCAGGTTCTTGACTATCCAGAGCATGTGGCAAAACGCTTCATTTAAAATCCACATCCTACATACTATCTAAAACAATTTACAAGGAATAGATACTAAGTAACTGTGTAAACAGTCCACTGAAGTAATACTCTTCAGGTCATGGGGTCCCTTAGGTGTAGGAGAGGGCATGCTTTCCAGCCTGGCTTTGTGCTATCCATGTTTCTTCTCTACCCCCAGCTCTCCTCTCTGAGGCCCCAGCCTCGGGTTTTCTTTCTTTCACCCCTTTTTATCTGCCCTGTGTATTGTTTTCTGATTGTGGCTCTGGATCTGATGGTTCTCCGCTTGTGCTGCAGCTGAGCCAAAGAAGTTGTTAGTGTTGCAGATTCATAGCAGCAACAGTAAGGGGACAAAATGTCACTTGAAAACTGAGTAGGCAATATAATTGTCTTAAAATGCTTTCCCCTCTCTTTCCTAAAAAGTCAGACTTATGGTTGTGATCTTTTTTTTGTGTGTTTTGTTTTGTTTCCCCATTCCTGCTGCTGCTGCTATGAAGCCTTTTGAATATCGAAGGTTCCCGAGTCAAACCGAAGACAGCAGTAGCTGAGGTGGATTAACGCTGGAATGTAGTCAGGGATTGGAACACTTGGGAGCTATGCTTAGACAGAAAGGGAAAGAGGTAAGAAATGTGAAGTGGTAAGACTGATTTTTAAGCTCTTGTTTACAGACTTTACCCAATCATGTCATGCCAGCATTTGTGCATAGCGTGTGTCGAGTGGTAAGGCAAAGGAAAAACAATTAGCATCAGCCTACTTCACTGACTATTTTTACACTTCAGATACTCAGATGCTAGCCAGTTGGCGAGATCCCTTCAATATCTAATTTATCTACTCCCTGCAAGCATGTATTGGCATTAGTTTTGGATGAGCTTGTAAAAGTATTTGTATGCTCTCTTTTGTTTCGTTGATTTGTTCTGCCACTCACCGCAGCATGCAAGCCATGCGTTTTACCAGGCAGGACGCACCAGGGGATGGAGTTTCACTATTGGTTTAACTGTGTCTGTGCCAGTGCTGCCCCTGGACAGGGCAGTGTGAGCCACCTTACTTGTACCAGTCCCTATGCTTCTGTTTGGGTGAGCAAAGGAAGGTGCTGCCTGAAAAACATTTCTCAGTGGGATCAGGTCTCTGCTCTGGCTGTTGACACAGTGGTGATGTCAGGAAAACATGGCACAGAGAAGACGGGGCTACCATTTTCACTAGCAGTCTGATCTGATTGCAGTTTCACAGTCGGTGTAATCCAGTCATAAATGATGTGTATATTGATTACATGCTTTGTTCTTGCACATTTCACAGAGACTTGTATGCTGCTTTGTTCAATTACACAAATGTTTTTGTGAGCTTTGGATTGAAAATTTCAAGATGATTCTTGATTTAATTTAAATGGTAGCTGCTAATTCATGAAACATGCTTCTGTTTCCAAAATAATTCTTATTCTGGGATTGTCCATGCTTAGCTACAATCTAGATGAGGATTATTTTGGAATTGTAGAGTACATTCATGCAGCCTTTTTTTCCTGATCACTGAAGTGTGGATATCATGGTGTAAGCAAATAATATCCTTTGTGCTTCAATGATCTCCAGTCCTGATTTCAGATTTCTTCAAGATGTGCAGGCTTTATTGCATTTCAAACTGAAGTGTTTAAGAAACAGCCCTAAACAAGTGAGGCCATCATATTGAGTATGTATATTACATATTGATTTCACTGCACATACATGGATGCATATAAACATCTATCTTTGGAGATCTTGAACAGTCACAAAAGACATTATTTAAGATGACAGTAGGTGCATAAGCGTACTTGAGCTGCTAGTGCCTCTAATTTAAGATTTCCTATGCACTGAAGTGTAGCATGCCCTAGAGAACGGATGCAATTTAAAACTGCTTTTCAGAATGCAGTAGAGATTGCCAGAGGGTTTTATTGATGTGTGTTCAAAAGATCCTCCTTTAGAAAATGTTTAACTTCAGGTAACAAGTCTTTAACACACCCCATCCTGTGTCACCAAAAAAAAACCCAACAGACATTCTCAGCAGAGTGTAAGAACGGAAATAAGGAGTTGTGGTTCCCAGAGCAATTGAAATTTGGCCATTTTATATTTTATATTAGTGCATAGAAATGACACAGTGTACAGAACTTGTACTACTCAACAAAAGTTGATAAGGAAATAGTTAATTCCCTTTCAGTTTTGCAGTTAGTGTACACACCCACCAGATGGAGCTTCTGGCATCAGTGGAAAATTCCAGAAATTGAGCAAGAATGAGAAGTGTGTGAATGACTTAGAAGATCCCTGTCTGCTGGACTGCAGAAGATGTTTTTGTAACCTTTAAATAAAACATGAATGGAGAGTAAAACACATCAGCCTTACTGATTCCTTTCACTACAACTGGCTTCCATAGAAGTTCTTCCTCTGATGGGAAGTTGGGAGTCCTTAGTGCAAGAGTCACCAACCTGAAGCTAGACAGTAAGCTCCAAACAAAAGGGAAAGCAGTTTTGTAAGCCCTTGCTGACAATTGCATATAACCACTGAAACAGCATGTTCAGGTTTTTAGCCTAAGAATTTCCTCCAAAGGATTAAGTGGGTGTTTTGTTTTTAGTACCACATTTTAGATGGCCTTCTCTCCTCTCCTGCAGCAGTATTTACACAGGATGTCAGAGAAGTGGTGTGAAACAATCCTTTTTGACACACCGCTTGGCAGTTTTTTGGGGGTGGCTGATTTAATCTCTGAAGAGATTTTTAGGGTTTTTTCTATTATTTTTTTGACTCAAAGACTTTAAAGAAATAGACTGTTTGTGAGGGGCAGTAGCAGCAGTTTCATGCACACAGTGCTGCAGAAGTTTTACAATGCTTTGACCAGTGAGAAAATACATTTGTTGATTTTCTTCAGTTCCAATAGTCCTAGTTTTCCAGAGGCTGTGACTTGGGTTTTCTGTTCACTTTTTATCTTTTCAATGTGCCTCATCCTGTTTTAAAGTTAAAGGACTTTGCCTATAGAAACAAGTTAAAGGGCTTGGGGCTTGTGCTTGCTGATGTGTTAGCCTAGGGTTGAATTCAAGCGCTGGTCTAACATGGCAGCTGTAAACACAGAATAGTTACCTAGTTAGAATTGAGAGGTGTGTGTTAGAAGTTAGCTAAAGACGTCCACGGTACATGGGCAGAAGCTTGGTGCTGCAGATGATTGTGCTGAGGAGATGCTGTTTAAAATGTTACCATGAGAAGGGAGCGCATGCTGTTACAAAACAGCCTCCATCCTAGGATTATAGCGGATTTGAAAATGAGCCCTTAGTTGTCTGGCATTTCAGATGTGCAGTTAAACTGCAAATCTCATTACCTTCACAGGAGATGTGGGTGCATAGCCCTCTGCAAACTAGGCCAGAAACGCTTAAATAAAGAGGAAAGAGAAGAGTCCATCAGAAGGAAATGAAAATGCATAATATAGGCCGGCCATAGACATGTTGGGAGTAGATTCTTCATTCACTCAGTGCAGGGAGGGGTGATATTTAATTGTTA